TGAAATGAAAATATCAATGTCTCTATTTGTTAAAAAAAGTTAGTTTATAGTTTTCTCAAACTTGTAATAATATATAATTTTGTTATATACTTGTTATATTTATATTATTATATTTATTTGTTATATTGTTATATTTTGATATAATTATATCAGATATGATATAATTATATCAAAATAAGATAAAAGATACAGCATACGTTAAAAGTTTATGTAAACGTAATTTTATTTATTATTTATTTATGTAAACGTAATTTTATTTATTATTTATTTATAAAGCATATTTTAAAAGTAATCTTTTTGTTTTGAGTTCTGTGAAACTTATTTAATAAAATTTATTTAATAAAATTAAGTTATAAATTAAGTAATATTAAGTTATGTATATTCTAATACTATGGTATTACAATACATGGCCGACGACACGGGTTTCAAAGTGGAGGGGCAATTTCTAAAAAAAGTTCTCTATATCCTTCAGAAAAAAAGTGTGTGTGTGTGTGGGGGGGGGGGGGGGGGGGTGCATCGTTTCGAAACCCGGCGTCGTCGGCCCTACAATAATATTAATCTTGATGAAAGTAATGGTTTGTATTGCGTTTTTAGCAATAACTACTGATTCATTTTATGGAAAATCTTCTGCTCGCATCAACAAACTATGTTTTAATACTTGAAGATAGAAGTTTTGATGAATGGCTATCATCTGACAACGATTCACAAGTGACAGATTTTAATATTCAAAAGAGACCAAATGAAATATATGAATCAAGCAATGAATCTGAAGAAAAGAGAGGTAGGGAATCTAAACTTAGTAACACTCAATCAATTATGCCTACCAATTCTTTTTTTTTTTTTAAACATATTTTGCCAATAAAAAAAATTTACAGTTGTAACTTATAAAAAAAGTATTTACATGACCGGGGCTAGAAGAAGACAAATTTAATCTTATCATTAAGCCCCAAAAAACGCGTTATTACTAAACAAAATATAGTTTAACAATAAAATATAGTTTCAATGTATATATCTCTGATTTATATTATAAAAGAAAACGTAAATATATCGTATATCGTTTAAAATTTATAGTTTTTTTTAAAAGAATAAGATTTTAGAATTGTTTTGTAAAATAAAAGAAACAAAATTTAATAAAAATATTAAAATGACAAAAACAACATTTAAGAATTGGTTTGAAAAATAAGAAGATTTGATTTTATATAAAAAACATTTTATTGTTAGAGCAGTTTATAGTTAAACTTATTTAATTATATTTATAATACTTTTACATTGCCAATAAAGTAAAAGCAAATAAATAGTAAAAAATAAAAGTAAAAGATTAATAAATAACGCAAAAATAAAAAATAAATTTTTTAAGATTATCATTTAAAATAATAAAAATATATGTACATATGTTGATTAGTTTTGTATTAATATTCTAAAGTAATTAATAAACAATTAATTATTGATTTCTAATTTAAAGAAGCTTTATTAGAAAAAATTTAATTCATTTTCAGTTAACAAAAGTAATTGCTTAAGTTTTGTTTTGAATTGGTTTAGAGAATTAGTTTTCAGTTCATTATTTAATATTATTTTCCACAACTTTGGTCCTCGGTTTACAATAGAGAATTTAGTAGCGGAATAATAAGTTTTGGATTGAATGTAGTTGTATTTTGAAAATCTTGTAGGGTATATGTGATTTATTTTTTCAAAAATTGAATAAAATAAGATTGGTAATATATTTTTATCAAGTTTGAACATGAAAATAAGAAATGATAGAGATTTAGTTTATACACAGTTAGGATATTGAGTTCATTAAATAGTGTTTGTGTGTGTGAGAAACGATCTACGTTTGAAACTATTCTTATAGCCTGTCTTTGTTTGCTAAGCAATTTTTTTATTTTCGTCGCGTTAGTGCTGTACCAAGCTATGTTCGCATAACTTAAGTAGCAACGAATAAAAGAAAAGTAAACGTTTTTTAAACAAGATCGATTTAATAACGGCTTAGCTTTGTACATTAAACCTAAATTTTTTGATATTTTATCTTCAACTACACCTATATGTTCCCTCCAGGTTACATTTTTGTCTAGAAACACGCCTAAAATCTTTATCGATTGCTCTCTCTTTATTAATTGATTATAAATAAAAAGGCGCGGAAATTGTAAAGGAATATCTGATTTATTATGTAGGCGATTTTTGTCTTTAATGACAAAAAACAAAAATATTCATCTAACTTGGAAACAAGACAACATGTTTTAAGGCAATATTGCAATAATAAAAAATGACAATTTTGCAGAACATTTAAGCGATCTGAGATCAGAACTTAGTTTATTTTTTCACCTTTTCCCAAAAGAGCTTCTGGCTGATTTCTATTATGATCTGGCTTTCTATACTTCATTTTATTCAGTACAACAAGACCTAAAAAACCACTAAAATGTACTGCCAATGATAAAAAGAAAATTATTGCTTATATTTTATACATGTCCGATATGAAACTTCTTGCAACAAAAAATTCTGAAAATAGTTTATTTTACAGAGACCTAGTGTAAATATGACAAACAAAATTTGCTATTTTAATTAAGAAATTGCATTCGTGAATCACGAGACATCCGTGAGACATGAATCCGTGCTGAATGAGTTGTACTTTTTTTCCATAACTTTATAAACTTTATACCACAAAATTATCTAAGTGCATTTGAAAAAGGTATTGAGTCATTGTGATTAAAAGGATAATTGTTTATGCTATTTATAGATAAACAGCGGATAATTTTAATAATTTAAAAACATTTACTGTACTGTAACAGTAAACATGTATTGGTTTAACCGCGATTAATAAAACACACAACCATGGTTTCTTTCTTTGGTAGCCTGAAAACTTATTTTTTGAAATAAATTTTGTAAATACTTTTTTAAAAAATAATATAAAAAAAATACTCAAACCAACAAGACCACAAAAATTTCTTTAGCTATCTCATTTTTAAATTTCAACTTTTTGTGCTTTCCGCTTATTTTCGGCTATTACTGTTATATATTTTTAAAAAGTAGAATTTAAGTTTTTTTTTTATACAATTTATAATTTTTTTATAAATCTTTTTTTAACCACAGTACCGAGCAAAACAAAACTACCACTAAAACACATAAAACGCGACGGGGCAGCGTCATAGAAACAGCTGAAACAAATGTGTTAAGTATTTACATTCCAATAATGTCTCTTTTATTTGAAAGTAAAAAGACTCCTTATTTACAGCATTAAAATATTCAATAAATTATTAAAAACCTCTTATTTTATCTTTCCGTAAACAGTAAAAACGTTAAAACCGATGTTTTCACATCACATAAGTTTTCACTCATAGCAATTTACTACCATAATCTCTTTATAGTCGTTTAAATAAATTACTTCTGCCCCATAGTATTAAGCTAAAACTTCAAACTCGTAGATAATAAAATCACCGAATATATGTAAACAAAATAAATCGTTGTTTTATTTTGTTTTAAGTGCGCACAAAATAAAACGGCATTTTTTGAAAACGAAAGGGCCTAAACGCTATATTAATTTTTCGGATCTCTCCTTAACTTCGCTTATATATATATATATATATATATATATATATATATATATATATATATATATATATATATATACATATATATATACATATATATATATACATATATATATAAATATATATATATATATATAAATATATACATATATATAAATATATATATGATATCTAATAAGAGCAAAACCTCTTCTAGCAAGAGAGAACATTTTATATATCATAAGGGATCTATTTATTACATAATTGTAATTAAATTGACTAATGAAATAATAATGACAAAATTAATCTTTCTAAAATGCACTCTCTGAAGAAGCTCATAATAAATATAAAAATTGAAGGTGAAAGGCTATACTGCATTATTAAAAAAATATATTTAGTCCGTTAAATATAGATAAAAAGTAATCCGTTAAATATAGATAAATTGACCTCGATTTCAACAAAGATTTAGATAACATGACCATAGATTTCGATTTCGACAAAGAAATTTGTTCTATGATTGCTAAAATCGTAGTGATATGAGGCATAATATTTGCTTTAAAAGATATGACTAATATTGACAGAAAACAAAACTATCAAAAAACTCAACAAGTTGATTACTACGCACCCTAACCAATATTAATACACTAACCAAAGAAATTTACTTACAATTTAAAATTGCCAAAATTGGCACGAGGCGTAATATTTATTTAAAAAGAAATGGTTGAGAAGTTGGTTTTTGTCAGCAATACTGACAACCTCTCAAAAAACTCAATTTGATTAGATTACTTAATTTGATTTCATAATTTTATTACTACGCTTTACTTACAACTTTAAATAATTCAATTTCAAATAATAAAAAGTTTCACTAAAAAAGTGCATATTTAGTGGTTCTCGGTGATTCTTTAAGCTATTCTTCTTCAAGGTTATTTTACTTTTTAACAAACGCGTGCCTCTATTGTAAAACCAGCAAAATCAGTTTTTTTTTTTGTTAAATATACTTTGTTTCAGGTGCCCAAAGAAGACCGAATGGTCTTATCACAAAGCAATGCGGAAGAGCATTCAACTAGTTTAATTTCAATAGCACACAATACCCAGACCTCCCATTTAACTCTGAATCTCTTGCTTTAAAAGCAAGCACTTTAACAACTGCGTCCAGACCTCTCATTGAAATTAAAATAGTTAAATGCTCTTCACTGGTTGGTGTTAATACTTCGAAAATAAACGTTAAAAGTGTCGCTTAGTTATTACCTGATATCCCATCTTATGCATTATTTTAAAGTGCATTTAGTTTAAAAAAGGAACGCATATTATAACAATTAAGACCATTTAAAACTAAATAAATTTCAAAAACTTCCTATCATTACGATAAACAATAAATGCGATGAAAGACTATGAAAGCCATGAAAATATTGACTAAACTATGAGAAAATTCCTGAATTTCACCTTAACATCAAACATTCTTATATTGAAAATTTAGGATTCAATTTCTTTTAGTAAACATTTTAAGATTTATAAACATATACACACTATAAATTTTCTAAACCAAATTATTTTCTTTGATAACTTGATGCAAAATTTCCATACCATGTAAACTGCGCAACTGCTCCAAATATCTATATTAATAAATGCAAATATTTACTACAAAAGTTATATATACATATATATATATATCTATCTATATATATATATATATATATATATATATATATATATATATATATATATATATATATATAATATATATATATATATATATATATATATATATATATATATATGTATGTATGTATGTATGTATGTATGTATGTATGTATGTATGTATGTATGTATGTATGTATGTTTGTATGCATGTATGTATGTATGTATGTATGTATGTATGTATGTATGTATGTATGTATGTTTGTATGCATGTATGTATGTATGTATGTATGTATGTATGTATGTATGTATGTATGTATGTATGTATGTATGTATGTATGTATGTATGTATGTATGTATGTATATATATATATATATATATATATATATATATATATATATATGCACACTAACACTTTGCATATTTAGTATAACCGTCATACTTTTGTTAACTTTTAATAATAACTGCTAATACTGCAGAAACACAGGTATAAGATCAGCAACTTATCATATAAGGCATATAAGTAAACTCAATTATTTGAATTAATACAATGATTTGTAAGTAGATTCTCTTTACCATTTAATTGTTTGAAAGAAAGCTAAATTACTGTCATATAAATGAAAGCAACTTTACTATGTCATGTGGTGTCAGAGGAGTGGTGACAAGAGAAAAAAAAATTGCATTTGTTAGAAACTTTTGTTTTATTAGACGGAGCTTTTCCTTTTTTGAAAATTTTTGAGCAGATGATATTGCATGAAAACGCAAAACGATACTTGCAGAGTTTTTTACTTAAAGAAAAGAGGTTGTAATTTTAACATTTATCAAATGTTAAACATTTTTATTCTGTATGAACTGAGTCTTTCATGTTTATTCTGAGATATTTAACAAAAACAACTTTAAAAAAAAAAGTTTTAAATTTTAATGTAAATCTATACCTAAACTGGATATACATTTATTAATTTAGCATTAAATATGGAATTTTTTTTTTTGAATACGATAATAATTATAATATAATAATTGATATCATAACAATAATTCATAACAGCAATGATAATATATTATTGAATGTTGTAACCAAGATGTCTAACTACAATTTAATAATTTATCAAAAATGTACATATATATATACTATTTATACTACTTGTTTATTTAGGTATTGTATTACATTTATATTACTCTCTCTCTCTCTCTCTCTCTCTCTCTCTCTCTCTCTCTCTCTCTCTCTCTCTCTCTATATATATATATATATATATATATATATATATATATATATATATATATATATATATATATATATAAAAGAGTCATAAACAATGTATATAGCTATATAAACATACATATAATAAAATATCTGAATAAGCAAGTAATATAAATTATATATATATATATATATATATATATATATATATATATATATATATATATATATATATATATATATATATATATATATATATATATATATATACATATATATATATATATATATAAACCATATAAAACCATTCAATATAACTAAATATAATTTATAATAAATTATATGATTTTTTATATTAATTATTTAAAATTTTAGATAAAATAACTTTGATTGCTTGAGAATTTAATAAAAGTTAACAATAACAATAAAAATTTAAACCTTTGATCCGCTATTGCGTATTTGCCAATAGCTAAAGCACAATTATGGCGCGCATTTTTCGAAAACTTATCATTTGTTGCACCAACTAAAAGATTCTTTATGATAGTAGTAGGAATCAATGAATTCACAATATTTTCTGTATATTAAAAAAGAAAAAAAAGATTTTGAACTTTAATAAACTTAAATACAAATTCAAGAAGAAATTCGTTAAACACTAATAAACAGCCAATATTAAAACATAATATAAACTATAAACAGTTACAAAAATTATATAAATAGAAACAAATGTTAAAGAATAAACTCATACTATTTTTGCTGCAATGAGATAAACAAAGTGCAGTGTTCCCAACAACTGTACAATCATCAAGTAGAAGAAATCGAAGAAGAATTTTTAAAACTAAACAAAAATATTGAATACTAAAAGAGGTTAAAAGCCTCAAACAAGATCGAAGTCCAATTTTAGGATCCAGAAATGCTTTTTATAAAATTTATAAATTAATGATGGCCACAATAATGACCTTCAAGATTATTTTATTTATTTTCATATATATACACACATATGTATATCTATATACTTATCTTACTATATAAACATTTACTTAATTTTAAACATAATTAACATACTTTATGTTTAAAACAAGTTAAAAATAAGAAGATAGGAAAACTTAAAAAGGACTTTATTAAATCGATAAACCAAATGTGCCCTAACCAAATGCCTCCATCAACAAAATTATCTGTTGAATCTTGTATCTTTCAAAAGTTTATTATTAAAACATTTTAAATTCATTGACAATTTAAACTTAACTATTGTTGAATTGAGTTTATACTCTCCTCACAAATACTAGGGCACTACCACAGTTGTAAAAATAAACATCACATGATGTTTATTTTTATGCTATGTCAAGGAACATCACCACAGCTGTAGCAAGAAACATCACCACAATCAAAACAATAAAAAAAACACCATGGTTTCTTAAGCTTTCTTTCTTAGATACTATGATTTTTAGATTGAAGTTTCTTCATAGATACATCATCATGATGGTCATGATGATGATCATGATGATGATGATCATGATGATCATGATGATCATAATGATGATCATAACAAAAAATACTGAAATATTTAAATAAAAACAAAAATAACAAAAAATACTGAAATATTTAAATAAAAACAAAAATAACAAAAAATACTGAAATATTTAAATAAAAATAAAAATAACAAAAAATACTGAAATAATTAAATAAAAATAAAAAATAACAAAAAATACTGAAATATTTAAATAAAAATAAAAACTGAATCGAGGCATAGCTAATCAATCAGAAACAGTCATCATCAATGGTCATACATTTGACTGGAAGATGGTCACTAGTGAAATCCCTCAAGAAACGGTTCTTAGACCCCTACTTTTCATTTTTTTTACTAATGATCTTCCAGAAAAAATAGCAAACCATTGCAAACTTTATGTAGATCAATGATGCAAAAATAATTGGAACATGGGAGTCTGCCAAAGACAAGGCCTCTCTGAAAAAAGTTGTAAATAAAAAAATATATTTTTTAATGCAGTTAAACAGATCATTTTCATTTCTTTTGGTGGTAATTAAGATGCTCCTAGAAGTCCTTACGGCTTTATCACAGAGTACAGCAGAATATCATTTAACCAGGAAGTTCATGCTTACTTCCTTACCAATGTTGTATATTGGGCTAAAGCCAGCATCTAACCTCAAACATTTTGATTCTGAGACAGAACTCTAACCACTGCACCATGGTTGCACTAAATCTTGTACTAACTTTTGAATTTTAAAAATTCATTAAAAAGATTTTAATCGGAAATTCCTGGAATTGAGATTAGATTATGGGATTTGAGTTCTATATTTGTTATGCTTTAATAATTTATGCTATAATAATTTATGCTATAATAATTTATGCTTTAATAAATTATGGAATCATAGTTGCATTACAATACATAGATAAAGATAATTTGAAATTGCTAACAGATTGTAGATTATGATAAAAACACTCTCTATGAGTAATGTATTTTCTATGGTAAATGTTCATCAAACAAATATTTTAGAACTTAATAAAAAAATTTAAAAACTTTGTAGGGTAAAACCTAAATGAATTGGTCCTTACTAAATGGAGCCAAAATCAAATTCACATAGAAACATCTATGGTAGGATATTCAAACTCTTTTAGTAAGCAGTTTTAGATACAACTATTCAACATACTTAATTATTATTTCATTATGGTCTAAACATAATGATCTCTCTAAAATTATTATCTTATTCTTCTTTTTTATCATCAGAATCCACCTATCATAGTACTTCTTACAACTACTTTAAATCTGACTGGGAATCTTTCTGTAATTTTCTTTGTAAAGATTGACAAATGGCCTTCTTATGTAACTTCTTGGATTTAAGCTGGCATGGAATTTTTTATTCCCACTCGACGATTACAAGTCAAGCCTCACTCTTCTCTATGGTTTTCCTCTCATTGTGCTACTGCAATTTCCAATTGTAACCATAACTTCCATATCTATTGCCCAAACAATTCTCTAGAAAACAGACATATGTTTACTATTGCAAGAAACCATGGTAAAAAGGTTTTGTTTAATGCCAAAGCCTGCTGTTTTCATGTCATGAAATATCATATTTTATCTCAAAAATTAGGCTTCAGAGACTTCTGGAGAATCTTTGACTGTTTCTATAATAGGGGAAAATCTGTTAATCCACCTCTCTTTTTAATTTAAATTACTTTTTTTAACTTACATTAATGACACTTTCTTACTCTGGATTCTATTTTCTATTTCTATAAATCTCAAATCCGGCCTTGTATGGAATACTGTTGCCATATCTGGGGTGGATCTTCTTATGATGCCCTTTCTCTTTTAGATAAGGTGCAAAAACGCATTGTAAACATAGTTGGACCTGCTCTTGCAGCCAACCTTCAACCATTATCACATCGTCGTAATGTTGCTTCACTTTCTTTTTTCTACAAATACTATAATGGGCACTGCTCTAAAGAGCTAGCGTCTCTTATGCGATCTACTAAAATTAATTTTCGTGTTACTCATCATTCAATTGTCTCATCCTTTTTCTGTGATTGTTCCTAAGTGCTCCAAAAACTCTTATACCTCTATTTTTTTTCCTCGAACATCAGTTCTTTGGAATTTGCTTCCTTCATTTTGTTTTCCTGATTCATATAAT